AGTCAGATCTGATAAAAAACTACTTCAAGTCTAAAGAAAAAATTTAGATCTGACTTCCAAATTTAATTGAAGGAGTTTTAGAAAGAAAGAAGAGAGAATGAATCCTAGAGTGAAAAGGAAGAGAGCTTTCGTAATATCCAGATGATTTACTTCTATATTAAGGTATAAAATCTTATTACAGTCTATACTAGCTATTTGGCAAGTATAGTAATTAGTTTTTGAATGATTTGATAGTATACCAATTACAGAAATAAAGGGCTCAATGGTTTTATATTTGATAGTGATGTGAAATTAATGAGGTCCATGATCTTATTTAGAATATTTTTAGGGAAAATCGTCCAAAACGTCTCTCACATTTTGTAAAATGACTTTTTTCGTTCCTCACTTTTAAAAGTGTAATTTTATGTCCTTTACATATTCACATCGGTCAAATTTAGTCCCTAACTAAGTTTTCGATCATTTTTTGGCCGGAATCCATCATGTGCAAGGCACGTGATCATTTTTTAAGGATAAATTTGTCAAATTATATTTTACATAATCTGATCTATAGTCCTCCACATTTTATAAAATAAATTTTTTCGTCCCTCACATTTTATAAAATAATTTTTTTTCATCTCTCACATTTCATAAAATGAATTTTTCCATCCCTCACATTTCAAAAAATGAATTTTTCATTTCTCACTAATTATGTGTGTGAATACATTTTTTTAAACACATGTATATGTCTATTTGATTTTGCTTAATAATAATAGCATAAACACATGTATGTAATTGATCCCCAATTTATGGACTATCTTCTCTTTTTGAATAATTATGACTAATATTTACCAATAGAACCTTAATTTGCATATTCTTATTGTATTTTGACTGAAAATAGTTTTATTGGCCAATTTGACAATAAATGCAAGATTATTTACTAGCTAATACCAGATGAAATCAAATGATCAAGTATAATATATGGTATTCGTATTGTTAAGTAAAATCAAATAGACACATACATATATTTATACTATTCGTGTTATTAAGCAAAATCAAATAGACATATACATGTGTTTAAACAAAATGTATTCACACACATTTTTTTTTAGGGTTTCACTCACATACATAATTAGTGATGGATGGAAATATTCATTTTTTGAAATGTGAGGGATTGAGAAATTCATTTTGTGAAATGTGAGGGATGAAAAAATCATTTTATAAAATGTGAGACGAAAAAATTTGTTTTATAAAATGTGGAGAACTACATATCAGATTATGTAAAATATAATTTGACAAATTTACCTTTAAAAAATGATTACGTGTCTTGCACGAGATGGATTCCGGCCAAAAAATGATCGGAAACCTAGTTAGGGACTAAATTTGACCGATGTGAATATGTAAGGGACATAAAATTACACTTTTAAAAGTGAGAGACGAAAAAAGTCATTTTACAAAATGTGGGAGACGTTTTGGATGATTTTCCCATATTTTTATTAGTTAAAAACTAACTACTGACGTGTCAAGTAGTTGATCTAAACCAAGATAAATTTCTCATATTATACCTCTAATGCCCAACAAATAACATTTCTTTTTTTCTTTTGTGTTTCAAAAACCATTAACGAAGCTACATGGAAAGAAGTAGAGGAAAATTTTGAAAAGTAAAGTGTATAGCATGCTAATGGCGGTGGGAAGCAAATCAGGATCTTTAAATTGACCATTTTGACATGAGTAGTTAAGAATTGCAAGAACAATAATACAATCAATGGGAAGGGCCATAAACTTCAGCATATTCTCACACCACGTTAAAATTAAGAAACAAGATGCAGAGTTGGGTGTCCAAAGCAAATTTGGAGAACACATCGAAGATTCCTCTGTTTATGCAGCCTGAGTTAAAGCCCCAATTTGTAACGTAGAGAGATTCACTCGGAAGAAAATCAGCTTCTCAATCTAGTTAAAACACCGTGGTAGATGGACGCTAGCACTTGGAGTTTGATTAGTATCAAAAGCATATTCAATGACCTAAATTGCATCTAAATACATGCAGGTACCAACAGATTTTGGTTAGATAGTCATTAACTTGACATCTTTTCACACTGTTAAAGGACATTCTGATTGTTGTCTGTATCCATGCAAGCCATCTTTTCACACTGTTAAGAGGTAGTAACACATTTGCAGCTAGTTTGGGAGTTTAAGACAGAAAAGAAAAGACGAGAAAGCTTAAGTTATGAAAGAAAAAAAAAAAAGAAGAGAAAAGAAAAGAAGAGATTTAGTTTTGATGTTGTTGGGAGTTTAGTAAAGAAATAAAATGATATTGGATAGATATGTCAATAAAATTTTGTTTAGTAAAGAAATAAAATGATATTGGATAGATATGTCAATAAAATTTTGTTTAATAAAATTTTGTTTAATAGATATGTCAATAAAATTTTGTTTTAAAAAATTTTATAAAGCTTGCTTCAATTCTCTTCTGTGTTGTTAGAGTGATCCATGCAAAATATTACAACTTCCAAATAATTTTATTTCCACAATAATTTTTTTTTTTTTTTTTTTTTGCATAAAATACTAAATTTGCCCTTCTTCAGGTCCAAATGTAGTTGGGACGTAATGCATCATTTCAACAAAATTTGCTATGAAAATAAAATTTGAGCTATGGCAATATGATTTGTCCTAGCTATTCAAGCAAACAATGACCGAAAATCACTAACAGTTGACAAGCTGTGATTAATGCCATATCAACCAGAGTTCATCAATACGAATTCAATCAGGAAGCTGATGTTAGTTTCATCAAATTAACAGAGAGGGTATTGAAGGGTGAAGAGCAGAGCTACTCCAGAATGCCAAAGAGACACAGAGATTATAACAAAATTTATGCCAAATGCCGAAAATAAGAAATCTTAGGTCACTCGTGAATCAATAGTTGGGGCCATCATGATGAAGAGAAACAAAGGCAGAGAGCTCTAGAATTGCCATGAAGACGAACTGTTTGAGACAGCAAGATGCAACAAGTAGAGCTAATTACAACTATTCGACTCTTAAAATCTCAAATCATCGCATTTGAACATAAACTTGAGTAGAGGGATAGTCTACCAACTCTCTGCTGCTTGAATAACGTCTCAAACACGACATTTTTTTTTTTAAGTTTTGGTTAATGCATTGGTTATTAAACTGCTTAAAATCCAATATTAAGTAGTGGAAGAAGTTTGTTGGTATTATAAATTATCAGACTACCAATCTCACAAACAAGGGCAGACAGAGTTCCTATTGACCATTGGATTTATGTCAAGAGATCATATCTGAAGAAAGTCAATAGAATGCCAATAATCATTTAAGAGACATAATAAGAATGCCGATAATCAGATAATTTGGAGCAAGATGATGAATACATTTTCAAGAGCTCAGAGTAAGCATTTCCATCCCAATAGAATCTCAAATTTAAGGAACCAGGATACTACTCTTCATTTTTTAAAATTTGCATGAAAACTCGAAACTCAGAATTTTGTACCGTAGACGTAAACACAAAAAGTTTTCAGTTTTAACACTGTGCTTGACTGTTCACCTCAATAATCTGCTCTTGAATAAAGTGATGTTGCTGTGAATAATCACACCACTTGTAAGTTTTTCTGAATTAGATTGACAAAGGCAAGAAAAGTTCACCAAAGCCTTCAACAAACTAAAGTTTAACAGTTGCATCACTTCCCAAATTGGCAATTCACTTCCACTTTTCACTTCTTATAAGGTACTAGTACAATGAACGATTGAGATCTCTAATTGCAGCATGCAATCAACTTGCAGATGCAAATTGATAACTCTGCAATCGTTACTGTTACATTACTAGACAACATCCTTGAAGGCAGACATTATAAAACTTCAGACAATTTTGCAACTTAATCATCTTATTGTACACTTTTTATCACATCATGTTGGATACATATAGAAAATATTAGCATTGGTTGCACTGGAGTATGTTGTCCAGAAGAAACAAAAACTAGAAATTAACTCTTAAAGTATTTGTCCATCATTGCTTATTCATAATTTTCTGTGCTCCATCAAACTTTGATTTAACATTCTGTTTCATGAATGTAGACACATTACCATTCTTTTCTGGAAAATTGATAACCAAATGAACTTTTAGAGTACTTAGTTGGATGAGGAGCTTCAAGATTCAAAATCTAAGGAAGGCATGTTTGCCAGCATTGCAATAAAGATAGAAGAGCAATATCCATGCCATTTTTGAGCTGGGAATCCTACACAAAGAAAGAGCTTCTTTTTGTTGCCTTTGTTCTAAAACTAGCGAGCAGGAAATAAGACTCGGTACTAAGTACATCTATTTATCCATTTAAAACAGGATCTAGAAAACCTGTTGGTATTTCTAGAAAATTTGCAAGCTTCTCACGATCAATATGTTTCTCTAATACAAGCTCTATCACCAAGAAAGCTCTATTGCGATCAATAAATTTGCAAGCTTTAGCGAGCAGTTCGTAGAGGCCTGCGGACAAAGATAGAGCATTTTATCAGGTTATAGACACTAAGAAGAAAGAAAAGTGTGCCTGAAGAGTGCCATCCTAATCATTTCTGTCCAGTTGAAACAGGATTTGATTCAACTAAGTTTTCAAAAGTCACAACCCATAAGCTGTGTAATTCAATCAGTAGTAAGAGCAATTGTACATTCCAGTTGACGTTTGTGCCTGATATCATTGCAAGACTGAAAACTCGAACTGGGACAATGCTATGGTTCTGTCAATCTCACAAAAGGCTAAAATGTGTGTCTTGTTTGTTATGAAACTAAATGGATAAACAGTTATTCCCACGACAATTACATTTGTTTGGTTCCAACCGCAATTTCGTAAACTTGAAAATAATGATAGGCACATTTCGTAGCACATGCAAAGCATCTCATATTGTGGCATTGCGGCACAATAGAGATCCACATTTAACTGCTACCAAACACCGGCTAGATCTAACATCTAACTACAAGCAGCAAGCCAGATATGACAAATTGAGTTCTAAAACATGCAAATCAGCACCTCATTATCATGACTACAAATAGCTTAATCATTTGGACGTTTAAAAGCATTGATGAGGTTCCCTGTTGAGCTTTGGGCCTAAAATCACTGCAAGGCACAAAAACTCAAACTCAAGATGGCATATAGCTTAGAATACATCTAATGGAAATTTTCAATAATTGCAGGTTTTCTGTCATTGTAATCAAAGCCCCAAAAGAAGAAACTTACCATAAAAATCCTAGCAACCAACAATCATAAAAACAGAGAGAGCTTGAGAGACTTTATCAAGGTGGATTCACTAAAAGCAGCAAGTAGCAACAAGTAGGCTTCATTAACAACCGGAATGCTCCAAAACATTGTGCTTAGGCTTGAATGTTGGAAGATACTCCAAGTTTTGTGCAACTTCATTGCTTGAACAATACATCTTCCTTGGCTAACTCAAAAATATCTTCAGGACGAGAAGATATCTTTTGTTTTGTGGATAATATATTAGATATCAAAGTGGTTAAAAGTCACAATTGAGCAGTGAAAGAAGAGAAGCATATCTAAAATTACCAGAATTTTTGAACCAAAACAGGAAAGTGATGACTAACAGCTATGAATACTCCTCGATTGACCATAGTCTTATTGGCTAGAAAGTCAAAACCAAGGAAAAGACGGTCAGAAAACCATCATATATGACTCTGATAGAGCAGTTACTAATCAAATGGTTCAGATAAGTATGTAAGCCCATTATCAAGAGCTAAAAGATCAGAGAAACGGTTTCATTCCCTTAGAATCACAAGCTTAAACAGAGTGAGCTGACTTTAGCAACAATAACTTACAATCCACAGAAGCAGACATGTAAAATCAACAAAACTAGACTGCTAGTTGTTTTAAATGTTGATGGGCTATTTGTAGGAAATGCAGGCCAAAAGTTATTGAGTTCCAGCCATATAGATCGTGCTGAAGAAGCTCCAAAATTCTAACCTCTGTTTGTCTAAGCAAGAGACCACCAAAGTCATCTTGGAAAGTATTGAAGACAGGGGTGTGGTCAGAATTGCTAATTTAAAGACATATAGAAAAAGTTCCACGAATTTTCTGCATACACTACGGAATATAAAACGCAATTGCATTTTTCACAGGTGAAAGTTTCAAGAACTCATTTCATCCTGATGCAAATCGTGAGTTTTAAGAGAGAGCTAACCTTAGAAATCATAATGTACAACAGATTGGCTGACATTCATGATAAACAAAGTAAAGTCAAATCTTAATTTCTTTTATATTGTTACTTGATTAGTTGATTTGTTTCACTTCTCTTTTATGCAAAACTTGCTTTGGTCATTCAAGAAATTTTGTGCATTTGGTTATTAACTACGAAAACAAGATATTAACTCAAGCTTCCAATGAAAACATGTAACCATCGCCTATTGATGGTAATGTTTATGAACTACCTATAACTTTGAATCATGATACAGAAACCTAAGAAAGACACCAAACGAAATTGAAAATAACTATTTCATGCAATATAGCCCAAGTAAGATGTAGTACTCAGCATCATATAGCCCAAGTAATATTGGAGTAACAACAAATCTTAAAGTAACAGAATCATTCTAGACATGCCATTTTTAACTGCAAAAAGAGAACATGAAAACTCAGAATATCATGTTGCATGTAATGGTGCAAAGATACAGCTTCAAGAAAGGTGGCGAGCAACTTGTGGAGGCTGACTAATGGAGAATAAGTAGTCACAAGACAGACCAATATTTTTCTGCAACTAAGTTGCAGCTAACTTGAGAGACAAGCAGTCTGAGACAGAAAAACAAATTGAGATCCATAACCAGTGAATTACTACCTCCTGTTATGAGGACAGAAGCTACAGCTGATTTACAGTTTGAATCACCACATTCACAATGTAGATCTCAAGCTTTGGCATTGTTTTCTAACATAAACTGGTACACAGATGTGAAATCTTTCTGCTCAGTCTACAGATATAAGCAGTGTCACAAGAACTATCCTAGTTTGTGTCCGAAACTCTGAAAGATGAGCAGTTGAGTAATTTAGAAAAAGAGATGTGGCAGCCAACAAGTATGACAGGTAGAGAAAGCTAAAGAATCTTCATGAAGCGAATTCCTAGAGCAGCAACCAATTATTACGATTTGATGCTTCAAAGTTCAAATCATCACAGTTAGACTTAAACTTCAGTAAAGGATAATCTACCAAGTCTTTGCAGCTTCATTGCAAGAACAATACTACTTCCCTTTGCAACCTCAAAAAATGACTTGAACATGTCCTTTTTTTTGAAATGGGGGAAGGGGCGAGGGCTTAGTTAACAAATTGAGAATCAAACTGCTTAAAACTCAATATTCCATAGTTGAAGAAGACAATTTATCATGGATTAGGAGCATTTCTTAAAAAAAAAAAAGAGGTATTTTAGATTACCAGTCCATTTGGCACGATGATAAGAATAAGATAATAACATTTTCAAGAGGTGAAATGATATGACGCATTTTTGTTATTTATTTTGTAATTAATTTTCTCACATTATTCTATCAAATATGCATTAGTTGGCCGATTCTACTCACTTTTAAAAATTTGTATTTATTACAGGGAACGAAACAAAATACCATAAAAAGATGCCAATTTGATGATAGTTAGCAGAGGAGTTTGAATTATAACAGGAGTCACGAGACCAATTGAAGACAAAATTAAAAATTGTTTCCTTATCTGATAATGAAAGTACGGCGGATTAGTAGCAGTAGGACTCTTTCCTTCTATTTTCTCTTGGCAGCGATATAGGACAAGGAGGAAGGGAGGAAAAATAGTAGTCATCCTGGACTCCTTTTTGGCTATTGACTTTTTGGTCTTTTAGGGACATTTGGTTGAGAACCAAGTAGAAGCGATTAGTCATCTTTTTGACTTTGCGGCTTTTGATATTATTTTTATTCCATCAAAGTGATTTATCTCAATTGAGAGACGATGTACGCGGCAATTGCTTCTACAATTTTGCGTGGGTTTTTCTCAATAGAGATGAACTAAATCTATACTTCTAATCAAATAACTAAATCTATACAATTTTGCGTGGGTTTATTCAACCAATTTAAGTGAAAAATGAAATAATATACTTAAAATTAATAAAAAATTGGTGTCTACATTTTTTATATTCGTCTTTTTTGGGCTTCTTGGTTACTTGAATGCCTTTTGCAGATAAAATAGAGTGATTTTACCACTATGTTTTGGTAGGTAGGCCTCTATGTAGATTGCTATGAATGACTTTTTTTAGTATTATGTAAGTTTAAGAAAACCTTTCATATTTCTTTTATTTCTTTTTTCAAAGTCTATACATGTTTCAAAAATGCCATAACATCGTAAGATAAAGGTACAACTATTACTATTTCAAGTATGAATTTTGAGATTTTAATTATCTTTCATAATTTAGTTGTATCATAATCACTTAAGAGTATCATATACCGACAACTTACAATATGTTGTTTGTTTTTATTTTGACAAATTTGTAATAGTATTCTTGACTTTTTATTTTCTAATGATTTAAAAAAATTAACTAAAGAAATTTACATTAGGTACCTTTTATAGAAAGTTTCAATAAATTACAATAGATTTTTATTTTTATTTTGACTTCAACAAATTCAATCAAGTACGTCCATATGTTTAAACATGGGAATGAAGCAAGTTCGTATATTTTCGAATATATGTGCAAAGTTCCTGAAAAATGTCATAACTACTGTTATTGAAAACAATGTTAAAGATTAAATGTTAAAGAAAAATATGTCTACATCTTTTAAACATAATCACAAATTTCATGTAGTCTAAATTTTTTACGTTTTTATTGTAAGGATTAGATAATTTCTTCAACTATTATATCTTTATTTTAAATTTTAATTATCTTTAAAACTATAATTTACATGCTTTGCACAGGTTATAAAGCTAGTTTTTAACTATTTATTTATCTCACATACATTATATCTCACAAAAGTGCCACATAATAATATTTCAAATAATTTCCTATCAAAACAGACTCAAACGTTTCGTTTAATATCCATACACCTATGTAGATCTATTTGCTTACAAAAGCAAGAAAATCACTCAATAAAACCATGTATTATTTACTACCAAGTTGAAGCATAGATGTGATATAAGAGACTAGAAATTGTAACTTCAATTATGACAAGGAAAGCATATTGGTTGTATTAAAGTATTGAGCAGTGGATGGACGTGCAGAAGGAACAATTTTTCTAGTGTTTATAATGACATAGAAATGCATCTTATCCTGGGTCAAAGATACGTTAAGGAAAATTTTAAAAAATAAAGATAGGTGATAAAAAGAGAGCGTACTAATCGGTTTGCATTAATAAAAAAATATCTAACCTATTTTTCTCTTGTTTTTATTTTCCTAAAGTTTGAGGATAAAATGATAGATGTTTTTTGATTTGGGGATACAATGATAAATTCTTGTGATTTGAGGATAAAAAGAAAGAGGTTGTCGACCATCTCTATCTCTATCGATCATATATCCCTTAATCGATTATATATTGCTTAAGTGTAGCATTATACAAAATCAAAATTAAGTCAAAAAAATAAAATCAGAGAATATTCCGCTAGCTCTAGCATTTAAAGTGCTATGTAATCTGATATGTCCCTGCCTCCAATACTCTCCAGCCTCGAATGATTAGTGATTAACTAAGGAAAGATGTTTTCAATACTTGTATGAACACAAACTTCTTTAAAAAAAATCTTTTCCAATGTCGCACGTTTTGTCTCGTCTTTTTTTGGAAGCAATAGTAAGCTCTAAGCTTCTGTTTAGACTTTAGTGAAGAAGACAAAAGTCTTCTCTTCTACCCTTCTAGGTCTTCTCCCTACATGCTAACAAGTTGGGCTCTGATGCAGCCAATGTAGACATGGAGCCATTCGTGGAGGTTGATCCCAGTGGCCGATATGGGCAGTTGTAGACACCAAATTTTTACTCTTTTATTTATTTACTATTTTTGTTTTAATTATCTCAAAATTTTATCTTAGACATTTTTTTTAAGCATTTTTTGAACATCAAATCTTTTAATTTAGTTTTATTTGTTAATTTTATTCATTTCTTAATTTTATTTTAAGATTTTTCGAAAGAGAGAATTGCTCACAAAAAAATATTCTTTAAATTTTTAGATTCAAATTAGGAAGGTTTGTTGTTTATTTTGTTAAAAAAAAAAAAAAAAAAAGATCACATGCACCATGCTGCACTAGATCCAAGCCCATCCTCAACTTCATATCAGAAACCAAATACGTGTACAGTACAGAAAAATTGCAGCTGGCTTTTTCTTCCCATTTCATTCGTTCCTCCGAGCGATTCTCAGGATAAGTCCAGCTCACTCCATTCATGAATGGGATCAAAGGGGCAAGAGCAGGCCACATAAATCGATTTTTGGGATTTGAGATCTCAACCTTCCATTGTAGGTTTAGGTTCGAGACTTCTTTAAATGTTTGAAAAGGCAGCTAGCAAAAGGGGAAGGAATCCGGGGGGGTGACGGCTAGGTTTTAGAAAAGCAACAAAAGGAAAAGGGGGAGAGCGGAGAGTTGGGACGGCTGGAGAAAAAACGCAGAAAAAGCTCACGGGGGGATTCCAGGGAGGAGGGCGGCTGGAAAAAAGGCAGAGCAGAGAAACCGAGAGAGAGCAAGTGAAAGAAACTGAAAGAGAGAGGGAGAGCTACGGAGAAAGAAAAAGTCTTCGGCTGGAGGGTTTTGAGAGAATCTGGTGCGGCAGCTGTGGATGAGGAGACCAGAAACAGGGGGTTGAAAAGAAAAGAAACGGGAAAGAAAAACAAGGAAGAAAAGGCAGAGCAAAGAAACCAGAGAGGCTTTTGACGGCTAGGTTGAGGAAAAGAAACGGAGGGGACTGACGGCTGAAAAATCTAAAGGGAGAGGATCCTGGGGTGGCAGCTGGGTAGAGAGATCAGAAGCAAGAGGAAAAGGAAAATCCGACGGCAAGAAGGAGAGAAATGACGGCTTGGAGGGGGTCTGGGTACCTAAAGAAATCTAAGATAGAGAGATGCGGGCGACGGAGGAAAGCAGAAAAGAACTGAGGAAAAGAGCTACGTAACGGCTGAGGAAGAGAAGGGTAGCAGAAAGAGTGATTGAGAGGGGAAAGAGGGAGAACAGGAAAGGAAGGAAAATAGCAAAGGAAAAGTGAGAAAGAATCGGAAAGCAAAAGTGCAGAAATTTTTCTGCAACAAAACCCATTTCAGGCTGATTCATCAGCCCACTTTATTTCCAATTTCCAATAACGTATCTCAGGCTTTTAGGAAGGTTTCTTCGTTTCTGCAATATCCTGGACTGCAATGGAGGAAATTTCGTTCAGGAAGAGCTCGGGGATAACAATTCTAAAAGGGCCAAATTGAAGCTCCAAGTCGCGGGTTCATCAGCGTTTTCCTGTACGGCGACGAAATTTCTTTGGCTCCATTCTGCACGGCTTTCTCGCCACTCCTTGCGTCCATCCGGGTTCAGAACACTCTCAGGTTAGTGATGGATTCAAGTGAAGGGTATAAGTTGCGCATTTTGCTAGTTTAGAAACTGATTTGCATGACCTACTTGCCTGGTAATGAAACCCAGAAAATGCAGAAAATTCTTGCCGAAATTTTGCATGCTCGATGGTCGACTTTCTGTGTTTTCATTGCTTAAAAATCAATGCTTGATGTTTGGTTGAGACCTTAATCATGTTTAGAAAAGAGAAACTTGTCTTGTAAGCCCAGGAGATTGGAAGAAAGTTTCCATCTGTTCATGTCTTTTTGCTGCAATTTTTATGGGTTATAAGCTCCAAATTTTGCTATGTTTGAAGGTGGTTAGATATTAGGTCTAAGTAATCACATTTGGTTAAGATTACCAAGATAAACAATTGTTTCCTAATCCAAACTTGGATGTTTGTTGGCTGTTTTGTGTTTTGGCAAAATGAAATGAAGTCACGGATGGTTGAATAAGAGAGTTTTCGAACCACTTTCCATGAATGTTTCCCCAGAATTTGCATAATCTCCTTCTAAGTTCCCTTTGCCTATTCGGATATTGAAGATGTGTGTTTTGTTGCATAGTTAAAGTCTTGATGTTGGATTGAAAGTTCTTGCTCAACGTTATGTCTTTGGGTCTGAAATCTGCTTTTGGGAACGAAAATGCTGCAAGTTTTGTTGCAGCAATTTCATCCGTAAGCCTGCATAAAATTTTAAGAGTTTGCAAGGTTTCCTTCTATGCTTGTTATTTGTTTGAGTTATGGTAGTGTTGTAGCTTTTTCTTAATCCAAAGCTTTTGATGTTTGGTTGAAGAATACCTG